CTGGGAAAAGTGACTATGTTCACATTCATTTAATAAACAACTACCGACATCTACTATGCACCAAACACTCTTGACACTAGGGACACTACAAGATCCGGGTTCTTATGGATTTTACTTTCATGTGCAAGACACATAGTAAGCAAAGAATACACAAAATTAAAGAGAGATAATTAAATTTTTAAGGCTTTTTATGTATATATAATTTCATGTTTCCTAAATCATTAGCTTTTAAACCTTGATTGCATATAACTGAGAGACCTTCTGAGAGAGACTGTATGAGTCCCCAAGGTTGATGTGATGGCAAGTTTACAGACCTTCTCATGGTCACCCACAGACCAACTTCACGTTAAGAAGCGCTTCTCTATAGTGCTACAGTTGTTTGCTTACATCACTGGAATCACCCAAGCCTTTTGGTGCTTGTAACCAGCTTGCTTCAGATGATGAGCTTAAAACTCTAGGACTTAATGTTCATCCTGCTGGATGTTGGACTTGCTTTGTTTCCAATGCTTTCTATTCCCGTTTGTAACTTTTGGAATGGTAATGTTTATCTTGTGCCTTTGCATTTCAAAAATGTTTAACCTTGTTTCATTTGTACAGGGGGTTACAGTTAAGTTTGCCGTAGATCTTGGAGGAGACTTGGGACCTAGACTTTTTAGCAATGCTGAAACTGTTAGGACTTCGGCAACTTTTGGAGGTGTACTAAATGTCTTTTGTATAAAGGATTTACATGAGTCCTGGGGGCCAGGGGTGGAATGTCATGGTTTATGTCTGTGTCCCCCAGGCCTCATGAGTTTGCATTGTGCATTTGTGATTGGTTCATTGTCTAGTGCTTGGATGTTTGATGTTAGTGCTCCACCCACATAGGGGTGGAGCCAGGATGCGATGTAATGGCAGGAAGAAGGTGTGTCTTGTTCTTTGCTGGTTCCTGCTTGCTGGTAGCAGCTGCCATGAACTGTGGCCTAGCCATGCCCGCCTGCCTTGGAGCCAACTGAGTGTGGACTGAAACCTCCAAAAACTGTAAGAAATAAATCTTTCCTTTCCCAACTTGGGCATCAGGTATTTTGTCTCAGCGATGAGTAAAAAGTAACTAAGACACTAACCTAGCCTTAGAAACTGAAGAAATTCCTTCAAACAGTCTTCCTTTATTAACATAAATGAGTTATCACACCATTAACAGCTATAAAGTGAGTTATCAAAAACTAACACTGAATCATGAATGGTAGTACTATATATAAGCCCTCTACTTTGGGGCTGAGGCAGGAAGATCACAAATTCCAGGCCACCCAAAGTGTCTCACTGTGACCCCATGTCAAAATAAAATTTTAAAAGAGTTGGGGTTATAGCTCTCTAGGATAGTGGTTGCCTACCATGCACAAGGCCCAGAGTTCAATCCCTAGTACTATTAAAATAAAAAGTTAATATGAATTTGAAGAGTACTTGCAGTTTCTTGATGAAATCTTTATTCTTTATTAAATCTACTTAATAAGTTTCTTTTATTGTGTCCTTCAAGGGAAAACAAAAAATCATTACATTCATGACATACTTGCATCATAGTACATTTATTTTGAGCATGTCAAGACGTATTTGGAAAAAAAATATAAACTCTATATGATAATATGCAAATTTTAATCTTATTTAATAAGCAAATGAATTATTTGTCTAACAACTTTTTTTAAAGATGAGAAAATAGACTCTAAAACCATATATCATTAAGTAGCAGGATGTACAGGCAGAATGTCTGCATTGTAAACTCAGGTCTGTCACACACCACACAAATAACTGTGAGAAAAATCACTTAAATTTCTCAGAACCTCTCATGTTCTGGTCTCTAAAACTGAATTCAGTGCACACAACACAGTAAGAACTGAGCAACAACACACATTTGCTTGATATGAAGGAGATGGCTAGCAACCCACCAGTGCTCTGGGCTAATGAGGAAATGAAGAAAAACCAAAAGTTGGGGGCTGACAGATGATTTCAGGGGATTTACAAGAAAGCACGGAGACCTAATTCTCCATTAATCTCCACCTCACAAATGGTACTTCCTGAAATATGCAAGAAGCCAATGAAAGAAGATGGAAATTGGCACTAAAAAAAGAGAACAGGGAAAGGAAGAAGAGTTAGATGAAGAGAAAGCCCATGGCTTGGCCTGGACAATTTAGTCCTCTTTGCTAAAATAATGTATTTTCTTCTTTAACACTTTCAGTCATGGTTCAGGGAAATGTTTAGCACTGTCTTAGCTTTGGTCTTCCTGTCTGTAACCTAGAGGAAGCATAGTCCTCGCCCCATCCACATGCTACAGTTTTCGAGTAGTTACCATTCTTCCTTGGAGATGAGGAGGAAGTAGGGCAATTCTGGAGCTTCGAAAATGCAGTGCAGAGTCATGCTCAGAGTTAATGATCATGTTAGAAAACCATCTGGAACTCTTTGTGAGAACTTATTTCTAGTCCTTGATGCTAACTAGGCTTGTGGTGTTGGTCAAACCACTTGGCCTTGCTGGCTCTCCAGTCTCACCTATAAACGAAGTTGGCATAGCGGGGTGTATGGCACATGCATGCAACTCCAGCATTCTCAAGAGGCTGAGGCAGGAAGAATGCGAATTATACATCAGCCTGGGCAATTTAATGCCTTATCAAAACCTAGTATTTAAGTAAAAAGAAAACAAAATAAAACAAAACTCACTAGCAATATAGCTCATCATGAAGGCCCTGGGTTCAATCCCCACTACCACACACACACACACACACACACACACACACACACACACACAAAGTTGGCCAAAATGACCTTACATTCCTTTCTAAATTCCCTCAGCTTGAAACACTCTAACATTTCTTTAAAAAATGATCTACATGTTCATGTGCTGGCAGAAGTTCACTTATTAGACCCTTGGGTAGGATAACTTTTAGGCATAGCTCGGTGAGATTCAACCTCATGGTTCCTTATTTATCAAATGGCAACAGTATTACGTTCTTCAGAAGACTTTTGTGAAGACTAAATGAGATAAAGCATATACAGAATTTAGCACAATACCTGGTATGTAGCCAGTGGTTAATAAATGGTGTTATTATTATGAAATATACCTTTTCTCGTCTTTTAAGTTCAACCTTTTTACATCAACATTAATGCTTTAGAAAAGAGTGACCATACTTCCATAATTACTACTTAGAACTAGAATATATGTATCTTGCTCCAGTCAACTTGTCAGCTTTGTTAACAGCACAAACCTTTTTTATCAAGATTGATAAACCATGGCTAATGCTATAGTATGTATTTTTTTTTATTTTTACATAAGCTAATTAAGGCAGGCAGGAACCACCCCTACATTCTATATATTGCTTCATGTTAAAATTAATTTAAACATTTTATAGAAGCCGAAAGTCCAATTTATAGGAAGAAGTATGAGCTGACTGTTTACCATTACCATAGTTTATTAAGCAAAGAAAAGAAAATCTATATGGATTCTGGCAACATTGTTCTTTCTTAGTGTAGTAACTCCAGGTACAATAGTTCTGCTTACTGACTATAACACAGCATAAACAACTACAGTAAGACTAATAGCACCAATTTTGACTGGTTCTAGTTAATCAAACAAATATTAATAGTGAAATATCAAAAAGTCAAGTACCTACTATAAACATTTCATTTGCCTTAAAGTGTACAAACATGTTTTCATTTCCTCATGTTTTCAAAAAAGACTTCAAGAAAGTGCTACCTGGGGCTGAGGATTTAGCTCAGTAGCTCCAAGCACTTGCCTCGTAAGCACAAGACTAAGTCCAATCCCTGGTACAAAAAAAAAAAAAAAAAAAAAAAAAAAAAAAAAAAAAAAAGAAAGAAAGAAAGAAAGAAAAAGAAAGTGCTACTCACAAATATTTTTTAGGGATAATTATTTTTTACAACTTCCCGTTCTAGTTTTCTTAGCTGATTACAAAATATAAAATCAAAACAAAGAAACAAGGTAAGTCAGGATTATATCTTTCCATACTTTTATGATGTTCTTTCCAAGATTTTGTAGATTCCCTGACACTTCTTTTCAGTGGCTCACTTGTATGGAAATTTTCCAAAGAATTCAACTTCCTTTCCACATATACCTTATCCTTCTGGACTCAGGTTTCCTAAGTTTACACTTGTTTAAATTATCTACTGCAACAACAAGTGTAACCTGCATCAGTAGGTTACAAATACAACAACAAATACCACATATTGTGGTTGGCCCAATTACCCAGCAACTGGAACAGGGAACAGATAGTGTTTCTCACACCTGGCACAATATTATATTATTATTAGGATGAACCACATGCAAATTTACAACATGCAACTGTTCTATTAATCTACAGAAATGGAAATTGAACATGTTTAAACATCTACATCTTTTTTCTATTTTGGAATAGTGGTTCTCACAACTTAATTTTAAAAAATCCCACTCTACATTTGCTCAGAAATTCACAAGAAGGACTTAAGACAAGCCATTCTTAAGCAACAAGCACTTTTTACCCTGTTCTACACTTAGATATGTCATTTAATTCTAAAAACCAAACAAATCCCCAATTTCCTACTAGGACATACTCTAGAAGTTTGAGACAGACAGAAAGAGGAAATGTATTCAGGTTAAGGACTACTAAACCAAACTCTTTTTTCAAAATCTCACATTTTTACCACTGACCCTAAAAAGTCTTTAACTGAATTTACTTTTATGATTCCTTTACGTCCTCACAAAACTACCATATAACATCACAGTCCCAGCACTTTCTCAACACAGAGTCAGTACACAGATCCCACTGGCTGCATGACTCCTGCAGTATATTGTAAGTACCCTTTCTGTTTTCTTTAAGCTTCCCATACCACTGTGCATCACGACGATGACTTCAGATTATACATAACAGAATGTGTGTAAAGTGCTTCACTAGAACGGTATACAGATTATTTGGACTAAAATATGTCCAAACTTTCTACTTCCTACTTGTTAATAAGACGTATAAATTTAAACACAAATTTGATACCTTATAATCACAGAGGCACAGAGGACACTCAAGGGATACTTCTTCTATTTGGTAGATCTTCTATCCCAAAAGTCTTGAAGTTTGGAATTAGCTAAGCAAAAACATGATAGCTAAGGTTAGCAAGAAGACAGCTATCCTTTCCAGATCAGACAGGGAAATGAGTTGGAGCCTGTATGGAAGGAGAGGTTTCATGTAAGTGGCAGACACCAGAAGGATGAGTTTAAAAATCTTAACAGGTCCCACCCTATAGGTCTTCAATGGCTCCCATCAACTTGAGGATAAAATCCAAATCTTTAGTAGGTATAGCAGGCCCCTCCATGCCTATGCAACCTCATCTCATACCTTCCTCTGTGGTTATGCTGGGGTATTCCCAGTTCTCTGATCTGCACCTGCATTCTCGCCACCTGGATTTGATTTCCCATCCCTCACCTCACTCTTCAGTGCTCAACTCTCCATTCTCATTTTCCAGCTCAGCAGGGCGATCCTCTCTGTTTACCTCTGCTTGCCTCCCACACCCTGTCTGTCTGTGTATGACACAGTTTGTCACTGCTTGCCTCCCTATGGTCCACAAAGACAGGCTTTGGCATGCTGCCAGCACTTTGCCTAACACAGATCTGACACTCAAGTATAAATATGCAATCTCTGAAATTCCTCAGTTTTGTGTACGTTTGCCTCAGTGCCTCAAAGGAGACTGAAAAACTGTGCTGCTGGTGGTTATGGCTTGAGTAACTGCTTCTCCAGGCTGACTGACTGGCCTTTAACCTGGAAAACTTAAAACATTATATGGGAAACGTACTCATTTCAATAATACTGTAATCAAGAAAAATGTAAGATGGTATGCCTATTTCTATGATTTACAAAAAGAAAAATCTTATATAATAATGTAATAATACATGTTTTTATATAGCCCAATCAGTTAACAAGAATAACTGGAAAAGAATTTAAAAGACCAGTCTTACAAACTGCCTAGTTTGTATTGGTTTCAAAATTTTTCATAACTTATGAATGGTCAAAATTGTATCAATCACAAAAACATACGTAAGATATATTTTTACCTAACTACTATGCTTCTGGTATGTTTCTTTCTATAATGTATGACAGGAATTGTTCAAATTCCTATTATTTCTCAGCGTAGTGTGCTGCCATTATTTACGACTCCAATGCCATTGATAAATAACATCCTTCCCTATACTAAAACTATTTGCAGTTTGCAAACACATCATGAAGCATAAACAATTAAATCAGAAAAAGTCCTACATGTACAAACTAGAAATTATCTGAAGATAGGACCATATATATATATATATATTTAATTGTGTTGTATCTTTCCTAGCACAGACTGAATCAGATCCTTCCAAAAACAAAGTTTGAAGTCCTAACCCCAGTACCCTAGTACCTCCTAACCTTAGTACCTCAGCATGTAATGTTATGTGGAAATCAGGTCCATACAGATACAATTAATTAAGGTGAGGTTGCACTGGAGTAGGGTGGGCCCCAACTTAGTATGACCTATGTCCTGACAAGATGGCCATAAAAAGACATAAACACATGGTGGGTTACGGATTAATTCATTGATGAGTTCATAGCTCCATGGGCTATTAAAAGGCCGAGTACAGCTGATGAAATAGGTCACCAGGGATACTGCTCTCTGCCCTTCTTTGATTCCTCCTAGTATACACACATCCTTGTTCTGGATCACCAGAGCTTCACTGCCTGGAAAGGCACACAGAAGGAAAAAGGGACCACCAGGAGGTGAGCAGCTTTCTTCTGCTATATATACCCTTCCACAGTGATGTTCCTGCCTTGCCACAGGCCTAAAAACAATGGAACTGGTCAATCATGAACCGAAGCCTCTGAAGCTGTGAGCCAAAATCAATCTTTCCTTGTGAGTTGTTTATCTCATGTATTTTGTCAAAGAGCAGAAAGGTGACTAACACTATCTTATGGAATCAATCCCCTATTTACAAAATGATTTGTCTACAAAAATGACAATCCAGATTGTTTATAATGTTGCTAGATTACCTGTCCAACAATGGTGTGTTATGAAAAGCACATTGTACTTACTGAATATAAAGCAAACAGTGTTCAAAATTATTTAATATCAAAAGTGCTTCCTGTGTGTTATACGGAAAACAAAATATGAAAATTGTCTATGAAGTATGATGCATAGAAAAAGAGAGAGGCAAACATAAAAATGTAAAATAGACATTGTGGTGGAATTAGGCTCAGGGGATTGGAACCCTCTTCTCCTCTCCCCCAGCTAATTATTTTACAGCTGATTTCCAGTTTTCTTTACTCCTCCCCTCACATCTTCCTATGGAAAGCCAATTCTTTCCTGGCAATGCTTCTCAAACTTAGATCAGGTCCACAATATCTTACACAGGCTTTTGAAAAGACTTCTAGTTGGCCTGACTGAAATATCATCCAACTATTGAATCCACTCTGGAGCAAATCTCACTGTAACCATTGTTAGCTTGCACTTTAGGTGTGCACTATTTTGTCAATAAGAAGGCTTTAAAAAAAGACTAGTTTCATATTTTGTTAAGATAAGATTCATAACTGCCCACTGACTTGTTCCTGCTCATTACACCTCTACAGATAACATTTAGTCAGGACAATCAGGTTCTTACCTGTAGCAGCATAGCAGGTGACTTTCACCAACAATCTCCTGTATCTACTACACAAAGTCCCAAACACTCTGTAAGCACTCTCCTAGACACTCTGCCTTCCTTTCCAACATCATGAAACCCACTCTATCTCTGCTACATTAATTCCTAACATATCATATTTTACAAATATTTATTAACAGGTGTAAGGCCTGAAGATATAATGTCATAAGTTGTTAATGATACTTATCTAAAAAGCACTTGAAAAGATAACAGTAGAAACTGGTATAAGATAAATGAGGGGAGGAAGAAGGAATCTGGAGAAGAGTGGCAGTGCCTCCCAAGGGAAATTCAGACCTACAACACCTTACACGGGTTTTGGGAAGTGACTCCCACTTGGCCTGACTGCAGCTTCATCCAACCATCATGACGACATCTAGTGGGGGCGGAGGTTGATGAGTGCTATACATGACCCCACAGAAGCTGAAACAGAGATTTCACGTTCAGGTGCGGGTACATGACACAGAAATGGTGCACCTTGGTGACTAGGGTAATAGTGAGAGCCCTGACAGAAATAATCTTTTGCATGGACTTGGGGAGAGAGCAGGCCAAGTCCAAAGGAATAGCCTAATGTGCAGTGAGATGTTATACTAAAACTGATGGGATGTGAGGAGCACTAAATCTAAAGCCAGAGAAATAAAGGTGAGTGAGGAAGCAAAATCCCATAAAATCTATGTGTAAAAAAAAAAAAAGGAGTGAGGCTAGGGATGGTGCTCAAGCAAAGCGTGTGTTTAGTATACACACATCCTTGTTCTGGATCACCAGAGCTTCACTGCCTGGAAAGGCACACAGAAGGAAAAAGGGACCAAAGGCCAAGAGCCTGGTCTCTGATGCTTGAAACAGCGCAGCACTTCAGGAAAACAAGGACCAAGAAAATAACTCGGGGTGAGAGAGCTTAGCACGGAAAACAACAGCTTCTGCCCAAGAGCCAGAGCCCAGAGCAGAAACCCCTACTGGAATCTAGGTGTGGGTCCTCTGTGCCTCAGTTTCCTCATCGGCAAAATGACAATATCATCTATCTCACAGGATTGTGGAAGATTGCCATCATTAGCATAAACACTTAGGTCAGCGCTTACCTAGCATACAAGCACTTGATAAATGTCTGTCATGGCACAAGGACAGACTTTATTTAGTTCTAAGTGACTTTGAGGTGATCAATTTCCTTAGAAGCAGATATTACAAACTAAGGCAATTAATACGCAAATGGCGGTAAGGAGGTAGTGACACTAATGTCAGTGACTCTTAGGACAGTTAAGCAGTAAAGGCAAGGAAGGAGAGGGGAAGAAGAAAAGCTTGGGGAGGCTAACTCAGCAGGACAGAGTAAAACCCACGGGGAGAACCCGAGCTGCTAACACTTTTTCCCTGGGCTGTGGGATCTGTTTACCGGATCTCAGGGGAGCTGGCAGGAGAGCTCAGACCCGTCCTAGCCCCAGTTCCTCGGGGAGCACAAGGAGCCTCCGTGAGTGTCAGTCTGCACTGGCTGATGGGGAGGGAAAGGCCCATTCTCCAAGGAAGACACCTTGGAGATGCCATCTTCCATCTCCGGAAGGACCTGTTCCACAGCTCTGCACTCTTCCTCCCTCCCAGCGGCAGCCACCGGGACTAGATGCTGCTCCGGAAACCGGAGCCACCGCGCCCCAGTCCGGGAGCAGCTCCCCGAGTTCACCCCGACCGCGAGAACACAAAAGCACGCGGGGCAGGAGGGCGGCGGAAAGAAAGGGGCTCGTGGCGCACGAGGTGGCCGGCCAGGCCGACTCCGAGCCCGCGGCGACCTCCGCGCCAAGGTTGCCGGTCCTCGCCCGCTCACCCATTCCGCGGGGAGGCGCTTCCGCCCGGACCTCGGGATGGCGGGGACGCCGGGGCGAGGGTGGGCGCCCAACTTCCCGGGAGCCGCCGTCCTGGCGGACCCCGCCGCCGTTCCCGCCCCCGGCGCACTCGGCTCGCTCCCGCCGGCCCCCTCGCCCTCCGCGCCCCACAGAGGCGCGGCCCGGCCCAGCCCGGCGCCCGCACTCACCACGCGGGAGCCGAGCCTGCCAGCAGTGCCCGCCGCCGCGCCGACGACCAGGCTGTGCCCCGGCGGGGGGCGGGCGGGTGCCACCTGCGGCTCGCCCACCCCGCCGCGTCACGCAGGGCGGCGCCATCTCCGCCCCGCCGCCCGCAGCCTCCGCCCAGGTGCCCGCCGCCGGCTGCCAGGTGCGGGCCGCGGAGCAGGGGCGGGACCCAGCGCGCCCCCGCCTGCGCCCACCTCCGCGGAGGGCCTCGCGCGGCCTGCGCCCGGGCCGGGCTCGTGCACCCAAGCGCTGGAGCCCAGCCGAGGGAGAATGGTAGCCTTAGAACGCAGTTGGGAATGGGGTGTAGGAGCACAATCGGAAGAGGCAAACCTGGGCAAGGAGTCGGAGCAGGGAACGCGTGCGAGTCCTGTCCGCAGAGGCTGCGCTGGGCTTGGTTCTCCCGAGAGGAGCTGCAGCGACCCAAGGACGCCCACAGAGAAGGAGCCCGATTTAGGCCAGCACCACTCGTGCTAAATTATTAAGAAACTGGTGGAGCTGCCAGTATTTGGGGAGCAGACTTTTAGAACAATGACGAGCAGATGGTATATAATATTAATGAACCGTTTTCCTGTTCCCCTCTACACTAACTGCCAACTGTTGAGAGGAACAAAGTCTAGCACACTCACTTCTCCTTATCTACTGTTGCACTGGGAGGTGGACCTGGGATCAGTGTCAGTGTGGGGCCTCTAAGCTTTAGTTTAGTTTAGTTTAGTTTTTCCTCCCAGTTAATTTGGTCTTGTGTCTGATTCTGTTTCTCTTGGCCGCTGTTCTAATTTGGAAGCCAAAACAAGAAACCATAGTAGTATAGACAAGGATCATGTTTTATAATGCAACACCAAGCGCTAGAATTGGACCCCTGCATCCAAATAGCCTGAGAAATTGCATTTGTGACCCATGCATCTCACCGAAGTGGATCCTGTTCTTGCGCTTTGAGTTTTATGGACTCAGGATAAAAGTCAAGAACACTGGGTAGGGCAGGTGGGAGAAGAACAATCCCTGGGCCAGAAGCCTATTTTTCTCCTAAATTTTCTTCCGGTGGCTTTATCCTAATACACTGAGGAGGAGGTTTTCATGCTTTATATAAAACTTTGAGAGACTCCACTTATGTCATTAAGAGGAAAACCCAAAACATGAAAGTTCAAATTTAAGAGAATCATGAAGTCAAAGAAACTAAAGATTTCTCTTGCCTTTTGGATAAAGTTTCTTTCATATTATAAACAGATTACTAGATTGGGAACTAGAAACATTTGCTTGACCACACTTAACTCTGAAACTACTGGTCTATCTATATGAAATTTCAAATGTGCAGGTCAAATAGATTTTTTTAAACAAATATTTGAATGCTGCTACATGCTACCAGATTGACCTAAAGATTCAAAAGATGGAAAAATAAAGGTATACTCCCTGTGGTTAGGTCTGTGCATTCATTTTAGTTGTACAAGTGATGGAATTATGAGTAAGTTGGTAAAATACGTAGTTCTCGGAAGAAGAAGGGAGGACAGCTAGAGCATTTTTTGGAGATGTTGAGTTTCAGTGGTTCCGTGGTTAGGTAAAGGCCCCAAAAGAGGAGCCATTTGAGTGGCGATTTTAAAGAGATGAGGTGGGGAGCCCTTGTCTCTCCAGGTAGTCACTGCCGACATGGCCCAGGAGTCAGTAGGAACCAGCCTGGCTAACATGTTACAATTCATAAAATGCAGAAAGGTAAGAGTGGCTGAATGGAGTGAGTAGGGATATTGTAAGAGAAAAGGAGGCCAAAACTTTAAGAAGCAGTTTGAGTCAAGAACTGACACCATCTGGCTGACATCTGAAAGTAAGAATTCAGGCAACACTTTTTGAGCAGAGTATGGGGTGATGAGAGGAAGAGCTGGAGCACGAAAATCCTAGGACACTCTTTCACAATCCAGATAAGAGATAAAGGTGGCTTGGACAGGTTAGTAGGGAAGGTGTGACTTGCCGCTTAATAAGAGGAAGACTGTGAGGGGAAAAGTTGGGACAGGAGTAGTAGGAATGGTTTGGGAAACCCTGGATTTGAGATTCCTATTAGAAATCCAAGGCAGGTCGGCAGTTTGTTCTTTCATCATCTGGAGTTAAAGAAAGAGACCTGAGTGTACAGATCATATTTAAAAGATGTGAGCATCTAAGGGCACCAAGAGTGAGAAAAGAGACGAGGTCTGAAAATTGGTCCTGGGAGACTTTGGGTCATAAATCATCAGGGGAGTGAGGAACAGTCAGTCAGGGAAGGATGTGTTTTGGAAGGGAGGTGTGCTGGGTAGGTATTGACACAATAATGCTTTATATCTTCACTTTGTATCACACTAGCTTATGGTCATGTATTTGTTTTCATGTGCATAGGTGTGTAGGTTGGTTTCATTGAGCTGTCCTAAACTATGCTCTGCTGTGTGTTGTAGGTTGGGATTAGATCTTCAGTGTGTATTTATGCTGGAGCTCGGACAGTTTTTTTTTTTTTTTAATGATCACTGAGATGCAAAAGCCAATCCAAAACCTATGTGCAGATTGAAAGCTTCACATCATATTGGTAAATATTCCATTTGCTCAAGCATGTCAAATAACCACATCCAATAGTAAAGTAATAGGAAACATCCATCCCACAATGAGGAAAATGAATATTTACTGAACAGGACTTTGGACTCTTACCACAGCAAGGGAAAAGCGGAGAATTAGAAAGTGATCATTGATTTAACAATGTTGAATTCATTGGTTCCAAAGACCAAGATTGGTCTTTGATTTGAACATTTCTGGAGAAATAAAGAAGATGAAAGAGAAACTGAAGAACAGAAGCTTAGATAAATTTTTCAAGAATTCTTTGTGGTAATGAAAAAAAAGCAAAGAAATAAGGTAAATGGCCAAAGGAGGAAATAAGGTCTAGAGAATCATTTTAAGATAGATTTTTATAGCAGGCTTATTGCATTTTGGAAAAAAAAATATTAAAGAAAGAAAAGATGGTGCTGGAAGAAAGACTCTGTTGATGTGATGTCCTTGAATAGGTGAGATGGGCTGGATTTAGGGCACAGGAAGAGTGTGGCTTAGATCTGAATGCACACATTCACACACAAGTGAAAGGAGAGAACAGAGTGGGCACACACGGGTTGGGATGGGGAATGGAAGTTTATGCTAATACATTGTCTTTCAGTGAAGGTTCTGGAAACAAGACAAAATGTTGATGCAAGTGGTCTTTTGAGGTCAACAAATGCTCTAAAGGAATCTGATAAAACAATGACATTGTCTACTCAAATACTGATATTGTTCCAAAGCTGGTATATTTTTTAAGACACGTGGTGGATTAACTGATGGTCAACGTGAAACACCTAGCTGAAGTGAGTCAGTGTGGCTCTGGTTGTGGATAGCTCACCTGAGAATTATTGCCAACAGCATAAAAAGAGAACTGGAGGGGAAGATGGTGTGCTGTTGATTCTCCTGGAGAAATCTGCCATGCTGGTTTTCCTGATATGAACTCAGCTGCTCTTACCATCGGGAGAACCTAGATTCTTGCCGTCACTAAGGATGACTATGGTTTTCTTTGGGCAAGCTCTGGCCCTTATCTTGAACATTGCTTCCTAGATCCCTACACCTGCTAGCACTGAGCCTTTATCCTACTGGTGTACACTTTCTAGCTTCCACCACTGATGTTTGGGCCTTCCCAGTGCAGATCCTTGATGGATTTGTATGAGACATTGTCGTGGGCTCTAGGCTTCCAGTTGGACTTGGAGGACATTGCCATGGAATCCGGGACCTTGCCCGGGTTCTTTGGGTCTCTGGCATGTGGGCAGGTCTCCAGCACTCTTTTGCATTTGACTTTTTGGGTGAATATTATAAAATAATGCTATAAATTATATGTCCTGTATTGAATTTTCTCCCTTGTAAACCCTAACTACAACATGTGATAGCTGAAGCTCCAACCTCCTCTAATCTCTTTTACTCTCTTAAAGGTACCCTGAAGTAGCTGTGTGTCATTTCTGCGCATGTTTTTTAAATTCACTACACGTATGTCAATTTCACACGATTCCATTTTATGTAAGTAGTGTTATACTTAATCTATTCATATGTAACTTTATTCAATTTTTAAGATTTATTCATCTTGGGGCTGGGGATTTAGCTCAGTGGCATAAGCACCTGCCTTGCAAGCAGACGGTCGTGAGTTTGATCCCCGGTACCAATAAAAAAAAAAAAAAAGATTTATTTTCATCTTGATTCATGTAGTACTTTTTCATTCATTTAATTATGTACAGTAATGTATAACTAAACTCTTTATCCTATTGCCCATAATGAATAAAGTGGCATTATTTGCAATTTTTTTCTTTTTCAGAGACAGTAAATATAGGAATTTTTTTTGCATGCATGTAGACAAAAATTTCTAGGGTTTGTTTTTAGAAATGGAGTTGCTAGTCATGAGATGTTTTGAGGGCATGTGTTGTTTTGTGCCTCCCGTGTCTGACCCTTCGTCCTGTTTTTGAGGTGTTCTCATGAGTAAGACAGTCAGTGACCCAGCTCACCTCCCACGAGAAGAAGCTGCACATGCAGAACACCTCCTTTGCCAGCCCTTTGGGCCACTGGAGAACACAGCCACAGTCACAGACACTTGGCCAAGCAGATATAACCCTCATTGTCCCCACACAGGATTCTGAAGCTGAAACCAGGACACAAAGGAGCTGTGTCTGCCAGTGAGGGAGGTGGCTCCTCAGTCTGGTTCAGGGGCACAAAGTCAGCTCTGGTTTGTCAGCATAGATTCTTTGTTCCTATTTTTACAGGGCTGCTGCCCAGCTTTTGTGGAGATTCTGGAATCTTCTTACTTGTTAAGGCTCCTTTTTCAGTTACAACGAGCCAGTTAGTTTCTATGACTTGAGATTCTACTACAATCTATATACAATAGTTACTTCTCTAAATCCTTGCCAACATTTAATGTTTTCAGACTATAGGCACACATACATACATATATATTTGTTCATTTGTTTGCTATTATTATATACAAAGGTGATTTAAAATGGGCCTTTGCTTCTTTTTATTACAAAATGTTTAAACAAAAAGAAATTTACTATGGTGGAAGACTGAGCGCTGAA